TTCCACCAGAGGGACCCAGCACGTCTTTGAAAAATGCGACATGCTCCGGCGTGACCTGGCCGAACCTCGCGTCGCGCTTCACGTCGGGATACGAGTCGGACGTCAGCTTGATCTGCTTGAGACCCGAAGCCTGCTCCGAAGCGGACCGTGAGACGGTTGTGCTGAGGCATCGTAGTGGAGCCGCCGTGACGGGAAGCTGAGCTGCGCAGCGCGTCGTGTTGAGCAGAGCCTGCCGCCGAGTCGTCCTCAGGGCCGGCAGCAATCTAGATGAGCGGGACGCCATTGCGGTGTGGATCCGTTGTCCTTCGCTGAGACTCTCGTTCGCTCGCCGTCGAGGTGAGTGAGTTGGTGTCGTGATGTCGCAAGGGAGGCAAGATTTTGATGATGAGACGACCTAAGCGATGTCGGATCTGTTCCAAGTGGATGGGATCCCGGGGCAGAGAATCCGGCGGGCCGTTGACGTGGGTGGGTCTACAGTTGGTCACCGATTCGGTGAGCTCGGTACAATCGGTGTGGGCTTAAAGTATCGGTACAACACTCCTTGACTCCCTATGGCATCTGTCATTCATTGCGATTGATACAATCTGATGGGCAATAACGTCAGGCCGGACTATCTACTCTATAGAATGAACTGGTCATAGGACAGGCGTGGAGCTGCTAAGCATCGAAGCTCATGTCCAGCCACGCGAAACAACTGTGTAGCGACAACTTCACCCAAATGGTGTAGAATCCTACCAAGTCCTACTCCCTCAGCCCAATGTGGCGGGCGCACTGATAACAGAGAACTGTCCACCAGCACCAGACCACGTCAGCATCGCCTCGTCCGCGTCTCGTCCCTTGACACGTTGTGCAACCTCGACATCCTCCTCAGAGTTCAGGCCGAGCTGGCCCTGTGAACCAAACCCCGCGGCGTAGGCATGCCCATCTCTTGTGATACATAGTGTGTGGTCCGTTCCACAGGCAACATGGGATACCATTCCCACATGCGGCACTGCCGCAGGCCGAAGGCAGATCGCCGGCTTGTCCCGTTCATTGAAACGCACCTGGGCCGCGTCCTGCAGCTGTTCAGGCGTAAACGTGAAGCCGAGCTGACCACCGTCCATCCGGCCCCACACGAAGCATTCGCTGTCCGGCGTCACGGCAGCGGAATGGTGAGCGCCGCCATCGATGCAGGTGATCCCTTTCCAGCGAGTGTTCGAATCTTCATCGGATACGGTAGGACGGCCGAGTTGGTGCCCGCGGTGCCAGGGTCACCCGCTTCGCCGAAGCTGTTGAGGCCCCAGCCCCAGACATTGTCCTTCTTGTCGATGGCGAAGGAGTGGTATTCACCGGAGGCAATGTATTTCGCATTGTTGCGGCACACGCGGATCTGGTGAAGGATGAGGCTGTCCTGGTCGCGTCCGAAGAGGCGACGTCCCAGCTGGTTCTGCTCGTTGTTTCCCCAGCCCCAGATATTGCCACTGGTATCGAGTGCCAGAACGTGGCCAACGCCGCATGCGAGCTGTGTTATGTCCTGCACGCCTCGAATAAGCGAGGGCTTGTCTTGCTTCGTGATCATCCTTCCATCCGCTTCGTAGCCGAACCGCTCATCGCCTTTGGAGTCCTACGAAACATCTTAGTCAAACTCTTCCATGCAAACGTCGCTAGAGACTCACCCGAAACGTGCCCCATCCGTAGACAAGCCCAGTCTCGGTGAGAGCAAAGCTGCAGCTATCGCCGGCAGCAACTTGCACAAAAACTGTGTCTGCCGCGAGATGTCGGGACGCGACCTGAGTAGGCGTTGACTCGAGGGGTTCAATTCTCCATCCTCCTCTTCACCAGACTCCGCGTCCATGTCGCGCAGCTTTTCATCCCAGGTCGTGTCTCTGCCCAATGCACAATTGTCATTGACCCCCCAAGTAATAATCTTGTTATCGGCCGTCAAAGCGACCGTAAGCATGCCGCCACAGGCGATTTGACAACATGTAACTTGGAGGAGTCGCCTGGGTTCAGAAAGGGGTTTTTGCGAGGACGAAGAGACTCTGTCTTGTTGGGACCAAGACCAAGCTCTCCATTGTCGCCATTTCCAAAGATGAGCACCGTGCAAACTGCGGTCGAGGCCTGATTGAGGACGCCAGACGCCTTGGTCGAAACCTGAAGGTGTTTGCTGTCTGTCTTGGGCTTCTTCGCGACCCGCTGCTCACGATCGCCATCAACGCGCCCACGCTTCGTGGATGAGACGGCCGCGTCACTCTCGTGCACATCATCCGATCCCACTAGCTTTCTCTTCCTTGGAGGGTCTAACACCCTTGAGCAATCAGCAAGCCATAACTATCTTGACGTGATACACATATAAGGCCCTGACTCGGGCAGCTGTATACTAACGAGTCGCGGCCTTATCGACGACGGGAGGAGCCTTCGCCTTTGTGCAAGATGCGGTGGATTTGCTAACAGGCCCAGCGGTTTTGTCGGCCGGTTTGCGCCGGTTTGCTACCCGGCCTGTCATTTCATTGTCAAATGACTGAAAGTATTAGATTCTTTTGAGGTTTGCGTGTCCCGGCCAGAAAGGAAAAATCCGAGTTGGGGCGTGTCCTTGACTGCCTGAAGGATTTACACCATGAAACTGCGCCGTAGGCAGATGCGTCTCCATGAACCTTGTCCAACACGCATGCCCTGCTGGTAGTCCACCATGTACGCATCGGACGACACCGTAGGACGACACCATGGCTGGGCAATCCGAGCATAAGGTCTCGCTTTAGAAGAGAGAGGCTTGGCATGACTACACGATGTCACGGTGATAGTGCCCCTCTTGGACATGGGTCGAGGAAGACAAGAGCATGATAGCGAGGTGCGGAACAGCGGCTCCGCCTCCCCCTTTCCCCGTCGCGTGTCCCAACGGCGACTCTAACGGAGTCGTACTCGAGATATTGGATGGACCGGCATGAGGCAACTTGGTGGATCCTGGCTTGCTTGAAGATCATCCATGGCGGACGATGCCTCGCATGATAGTCGAGGCCGTTGGGGGGAAAGTATCGTGTCCGGGGTTAATGGATGGGATGGCCATGATCGCCGCTGATTCGCGGGGTGCAGGAGCACATCCCTGAATGTAGAGTGATGGGACTAAGAACGGCGATGCTCATCGCAGAATGGGGAAGGATGCGCGGGAAGGGTGTCGTTTCAGATGAAGCTCTTGGGCGATGGGGCCGATATGCGCCTTTCCGTCTTCGTCCTAAGGCGTCTGGTCATTGTAGTGCTGGCCCGCGACATTAGTCGTCTGTAGTTGAGGAGGCCATCTATAGTAGTTGGCATTGTAAAAGGGATGGAGACCTCGAATGGATTTTATTTCTGTTTGGTCTGTTCTTTTTTCATTTACTCGTTTCTCAACTCAGCGTTGGAAAAGAACAGCCAGGCGCTGTTGAAGAACAGCCTCCCTCACCTCACAAGATCCATATCGGATTACGGATTAAGGATTACCTCACAGACACTGCTACCCTTGTCTCCACTTCAACGCTTCGGGCACCGGCAATTGGCTGTCAGCACTGTCAAGCCACGAAAGACGCCCCGATAAGAGACCCCGTCACCCCCGTCAACCCCCCTCGGGCGCCGCACAGCAGCCGAAGCGGGCAGGCGACCACTAAAAACAGCCTAGCGAGCCACTAGAGCCCGCCCAAAATGGCAGCGAGCGGGGATCTTCTCCAGGGGACGCCAGCGCATGCTCTGCCCGGCAACGAGGAATTCCCCGATTTCTGTTTACACGCACATGCACAGGCACAGGCACAGGCACAGGCACACACCCACGCCCACGGCAGCCACATCCAGACCGACGCCGACACCAACCAACATTACCGTCTCTCCAACTCGCACTCAACCACATCCAACGATTCTGCCGATACCAGCAGTAACACGCCCACAGCATCCTCACCTGCATCCACACGGCCGACAAGCCCCGCCTGCACCGAGTATTCTTCCCCAGACTACGGCTCGCCCACCACATCCCGCATCCGCACAAACTCGGCTGGTGGCTCCCCCTCACCCCTCAGGAGCCGCCGCGACAAGAAGGAGCTGCACGCCGCCCGACTCGAGCGCGCTGGCTCGGCCACTGGCACTCTACATCTTGCCATCAGCAGACACGAGACCCAGGCAGCCGGGGCCTCGAAAAAGCAGCGCTTCCGCTCCTCCACCTCTTCGAATCCCGCCGCCGCCCTCGCCGCCATCGAGCCGCCGCATGACCAGGGCCTGACGAAGATGGCCTTCGCCGAGCAGCAGAAATGGGTGACGGTCCAGCAAAAGACCTTTACCAAGTGGCTCAACACGAAGATTGTGGCACGGGATCTCGAGGTCAAAGACCTCGTGGCGGACCTCAGTGATGGCGTATGGACCGAGCCCCTGAACCCAAACCCCCTTTTGACCCCGCTGACAGATTTGCTCCGTCTTATTCTAGGTCATCCTCATTCACCTACTAGAATGCCTATCACAAGAATCACTAGGCCGCTATGCGGCGAAGCCAAAGCTGCGCGTTCAGCGCTTCGAGAACGCCAACACAGCCCTCGACTTTATCAAGTCGAGGGGCATCCAAATGACCAACATTGGTGCCGAGGACGTCGTCGACGGGAACCGCAAGATCATCCTCGGTCTCATCTGGACCCTTATTCTACGCTTCACCATTAGCGACATCAACGAAGAGGGCATGACGGCAAAGGAGGGCCTGCTCCTGTGGTGCCAGCGCAAGACGGCATGCTACGACGAGGTCGAGGTCCGTGACTTCAGCACCAGCTGGAACGACGGCCTCGCGTTCTGCGCGCTGCTCGACATTCACCGGCCGGATCTCATCGACTACGACGCCCTCGACAAGTCGGACCACCGCGGCAACATGCAAATGGCGTTTGACATTGCCCACCAGGAGATTGGCATCCCCAAGCTGCTCGACGTGGAGGATGTGTGCGACGTGGCCAAGCCGGACGAGAGGTCCCTGATGACGTACATTGCCTACTGGTTCCACGCCTTTTCTCAGATGGAGAAGGTCGAGAACGCGGGCCGACGAGTGGAAAAGTTCTTCACCAACATGTCGGGGGCCTGGGAGATGCAGAGTGCGTATGAGAGGCGTATGGCGGCGCTGCTGAAACAGATTCAAGGGCAGATCGAGCAGTGGCAGCAGGCCAAGTTTGAGGGCACATATGTGGACGCCAAGGCGCAGGCGATGGAGTTTACAGCGTACAAAAGGGGCCAGAAGAGGGAGTGGGTGGGCGAGAAGAGCGAGCTGGCGACTCTGCTCGGCAACATCAAGACAAAGTTGGGCACATACCGGCTTCGGCCATATGACCCGCCAGTAGAGTTGTCGCTGGACACGATGGAGAGGGAGTGGGCCAACCTGTCCAAGACGGAGATGACGAGGGCGCAGCTCATCAACGAGACGATCCGAGAGTAAGTCGTTCATTCACTGCCCGCCCTGTGGACACGCCAACTCGAGCTAATGCACCCAACAGCATCAAGAACGCGCTGAGAAGGTCATTTGCTGACAAGGCCAATGACTTTGCCATGGCGCTCAACACGATGCAGCTCGCCATCTCAGGTCTGGACGGCGACGTCGAGGACCAACTGCATCACGTCCGCAAGCTCAGCGAGAACCTCTCTCCCATGGACCGCTACCTCGACACCATTGCCGCGGTGGATGCCAAATGCCAAGAGGCCAACATTGAGGAGAACGACTTTACGACGTACGCCTACGACGAGCTCGCGTACGAGCTCGGCCTCGTCAAGTCCTCTGTGCAGAAGAAGCTGTCCTTCCTGGAGAACCAGATGGTCGCTCGTAACATGACGAACCTGACGCCCATTCAGCTGGAGGAGTTTGAGTCTGTGTTCCGCCACTTTGACCGCGACGACTCGAACGCGCTGCAGGAGCTCGAGTTCTCCGCCGCCCTCGCCTCGCTCGGGCTCGTCTTCTCCGAGGACGAGATGCACGACTATTTCCTCGACACGTCGCACGGCCGCGACCGCGTCACCTTTGAGCAGTTCATCCGCTTCATGGTCAACGTCACAGAGGACCAGAACACGGCCGAGCAGGTCTTCCAGTCGTTCCGCGAGGTCGCCGACGGCAAGCCCTACGTCACCGAGATGGACCTCCGCCACTCGCTCGTCCCCGACGAGGTCATTGACAAGCTCGTCGACCTCATCCCCCTCCACTCGGGCCCGGACATGCTCGACGACCGCGGCATGCCGCAGTACGACTACATTGCCTTCATGGACAAGCTCATCAGCGGCACGGCCGGCGGCAGCTGCGACGCCAGCAGCGCCGGCGGCGACTATGATGACGACGATGTGCCGTCGGGGGTGCTGAAGGAGCGTACGAACCGGGACAGCAACCTGAGGCAGGACAAGGTCAACGGCTACCACTGAAGGGGGGTCTTTTGCCGTTTCATCGCCATCGCCATCATCTTCTTCTCTCTGAGCTGCCTCCGCCACTTCTTCCGTCTTTTTCTTTTCTCTTCGTTCAAGCACCCCACGCACGCCCGTTGTTATCCATACTCTACTCTGGTATACCATTCCTTGTTTATTTTTATTACGTTTTATTCCTCTTCTCTTCTTCGTCGTCACAAAGGCAAGCATGGTTGGGTGTTCGGGGTTGCGCAAACAGGGTTGGGGCCGAGACTATGCAGAGGCAAGGAAGACTATGCAGAGGCAAGGAAGACTATGCAGAGGCAAGGAAGAGAGAGGCTCGTCGCCGGCTGCCGGGTGGCCGGGCGAAAGCGGGACAGGGTTGCGGGTGACAAAGACGGGACGCTTCTTCGAAAACAAAAGGGGAGGCGTCGACTGTGACTGGAAGATGAAATATACTAGAAAGTACCACTGCGACAGACCAAACCCGTCTCTTTCTCTTTGTTGGAGGAGAGACTTGAGGATGGCCTGCCTCCCGCTGTGTGGGGAGCGCCTGAATTGGACTACAAACAAGTTTTACAATAATACCCTAATCGGGCCGCGGCATGTGCTCGAAGACTTGTATTTAGTGATGATGATGTGCGAACGACAGACATGGGCGCCGCCTGGCTGTTTCGGCTGATGAACCTGCAACGCAAAACCAGGCTCATCTGCGCCCCCAAGATGACAACAAAAAAAAAACAGATGCTGCAAACGCCGGAACACCTTCTAGCCAGAATAGAGTACCTTAACTGTACATAGACGCCTCCTCACGCCCCCCGGCGCAAACACACATACACACATGGGCAAACGCGTCTACTTTGCGCCGTCGAACGCGTCGCGCTCCTTCAGCGCGTCCGCGAGCCGCCGGTAGTCGCGAAGGAGCTCCAGGACCTCGCCGAGCTTGAGGTCGCCCGGGTTCTGCAGCTCCATGAAGCGCTTGTTGGGCGGCTTCACCTTGGACACCTGCTTGGGCGGGAGAGCGGGCGCAATGTCGGGGAAGGCCTGTGGGAAAAGGGGTCAGCTACGAATACGATATGCGGTCTCGTCGGAGTCTGAAAACGTACAGCACTGAGGTCGCCGCCCTCGGCTGGCTTGGTCTGCGGGTCCTTCGACGTGGGGGCTACGGGCGACGACGCGACGCGGCCGAATCCGCGCATGACGCCCATGCTCGAGAGCTTGGCCATGGGGTTGAACGAGTTGCCAAAGTTGCGGACCGCGTTTTCGAGCGGGTTCGCAGACGACGTCGGCAAGGGTGACGGAGCGGCTGCGTGCTTCTCCTGCGCGAAGAGAACCTTCTTGGAGCTGCTGGCGCTGCGCGAGCTGTCGGCGCTGTGGTCTCGCGCGGCGGCCTTCTTGCCCCCGATCAGGCTCATCACCTTGTCGTCAGAGGGGGGTGGCTTGTGGGCGGTTTCGCGCTCGTCAGCGCCGTGGACGGAGCTGGCACCGCTCACCGAACCGTCTTCGTCAGGCGGCGGCGTGCTGACGAGCTTGCGGGCGTCATCGAGTGTTCTCGGGACCACGAGTGCCTCGCCTGTTGCCGTGGGCGCCCCCTGGGTCTCGCGCAGCTTACCAAGAAGAAACTTGTAGCTGTCGCCCAGACTGTTAGTAATGTTGTTCAGCCCCTGGTCGGCGCTCTTGAAGACAGCATCACTGGCTGCACCGAAGGCCTGAGCAGGCGTGTTGACGAGCTCACTAAGTCGTCTGTTCCGCGCCTGAACGACTGCGCGGAGTCCGGATGACGCAGAAGGGGAGGGAGGTGGCCTGAGCGCGGCGGCGTTGTTCGTATCCGTCTCAACAGTCCCGTCGGCAGCGGCATCCGCGGTGATGGTCAGGCCCGGTGGAAAGGCGGGCGGGAAGGTATCTGCCCTGGAGATGCCTGGCATGCCATCCTTGGGCGGTCCTTGGGGCAGTTCGTCGGCTCGCAGGGTGGACAAGTCGACTGTCTCGAGGAAGCTGATGGCCGCCTCGAGGTTGGTCAGGCAGTATGCGGCTTCGCCCGTCAGTTTGGGTTCCCATCTGAAGTTCTGAATGAAATTGACGTCGCTGATGACATTCAGATGTTCGGGTGGCAGCGTGATGAGGGTGAAGATCAGCATGGGCATGATCTCGTCGGCAGACGCTGACGGATGGAAATGCGCCAACGTGTCGACGATGCTCTTGTGCGCGGCTTTCAAGTGGTTGAGCTTGCCGAGCGGGTAGCGCTTCTCGTGCATGCGGATGAGATCTTTCCTGGCTTGCTCTAGCCAGCCCCTGATCTCCTCAGCCCTCTGCACAGCCGCGGCCGGCGTTGCTGTCGCGTCCTCTCCGAGATCGATGCCAAGGTCTGCAGGGCCGATACCGACGAGCGCGAGGGCTGCCGTCTTGGACCGGAGTTTGTCGTCCTGTGCCTGGTCTTGCGTGCTTCGGTGCCGGTAGATGCGATTGTAGAGGCCTTCGCACAACCGTCTCTCCACGGCCTCTTCCAGCATGGCTCTCTTGGCCTCCAGCGCTTTGCGCGCCTTCTTCTTCTCTGCCAACTCTTCGGCCGTGATCATCTGGCGTTCCGTGTCGGGCTTTGGTATGTTCTGGGGCTTGTCCTTGCTTCCAATCGACGCGGCCTTGGCTCTAAGTCGGCCCGCTGGGGTGAGCCTGGACGGTGGTGCGGGGGAGTTGGCCCGGCTTTGACGTGTGGCCAGAGCGGAGATGTGCGTGTTGACGTGGCTCGAGGCGCTGAGGTAGAAGTCTTGGAAGAGTTGGGCGACATTGTCAATGCTGGGTGGTGTCTTGTGGACTTTGGACGTGAGGGCATCGACAAAGCTGAAGACGAACAGGTTAGCTCGTGAGCAGAAGAGCCTTTCGTACATGTCGATTACCTGTCAGTCAAGCTAACGAGCTCGATGGGTAGGTCGTCGAGGTCCACAGATCCCCTTCCTGGGTCGATTCCATCGTCCTCGTCTTCATCGGCGTCCTGGCCGGTTTCAAATGCATCGGGTCGTTCGATTTCCTCAGGCGGGGTGGCCTTGGTCAGGGGCGCAACGGCAGCGCCATTGTGGAAAGTCTGGGCCCGTCTCGGGGGCTGAAGAGGGTCGTTGCTCGCAGCACCGGCGCCTTGGGTTGAAGAAGTCGCTCGAAATAGGCTCGGTCGAGAGCCGACAGAGCTCTTGGGAGGTTCGTGGGCCGCCATGTTGATCGGTGTGGTGCTAGAAGTCAAGGAGGTCAGCCTGGCACGTGTCGACATGATGATGCCGCCTCTTGTGGGAAACAACAGGAGGACGAGACGAGGGCAGCAGGGAAGCTCTACTTTTATCTATCCAGCAGCGTAGGCTCGATAGGGATGAAACGCAAGGAGCAGAGAGCACAGAGCACAGAGCAGAGAGCTGCCTCTCGGCTGGTTGGGGTCGCGTAGAAGGGACTGTGACGGGATGTGAGGATGTGAGGATGTGAGGATGCCAGATCCACCAGTGTTACGCCATTTGTAGATGGGAAACGCGCATGGGTATCTTCCAGTTGCGTCGTGCGCCAAAGGGAGAGGAAGAGCGGAGAGGACAGGATCGATAAACGAGTGGCAGCCTAGGTAGCAGCAGGTAGGCAGGAGATGTGGCAGGCGACGGGTTGCGGGCTCACGGAGTCCACGGAAGCAGTCGTCAATGTGTGTCCAGTGCAGTCGAGTCCGTGACGGCGGGCAGATGACGAAGGTTGTTGCGTGCATCTGGTGGATGCATCGATTGCAGCCAAGTGGCCGATCTGGTCGAGGTACCTTTTCGTAGCCTGGTACGTAGGTGCCTGCGCCGGCTGTACCATGTACTCTATGGCGGGCGGACAGCAAGGTACCGTGCCGCTGCAGAAGGGTGCCTGGCAGGTGAATGAGACTCCTGCATAGATCGCCTTTGCTCATGCAGCGAAGGGTTCACATGTTCGAGGTTTGGTATGAGATGTGTGTGCACGATGTGTAGATACCGTCGTGCATTTGATCTATTGAACTCAGCATATGGGCAGACTCCTGAGAACCGGCCTTGCCTCATCCCTCGTTGGACAGAGCCACGATGCGTACTCCCTTGCTGAGTGAAGGGCTTCGAGGGACCTGAGGTAGACCTCGACAAGGACCAGGTGCTTCGAGGTACCAGGTGCTTCGAGGTACGAGGCCCCTCGAGGTACCAGGCCCCTCGAGGTACCAGGCCCCTCGACAGGTACCTACCTTAGGTACCTACCTAGGCAGGCTGGCAGGCAAGGCAAGTCCATAGCTTTGCCGGCCCGTTGCAGCTGGCAGCACTCCAGCGGTCTCCGATTGCTTATCGGTGGCCCGTGAACCCCCCGCATGACCAAAGACACCAGGGAGACGACGTCAACACGCCATCCACCTGACTGACGCAAGGCCGTGCTTCCTCAGTCTCAACACTACATACCTACCTACCTTACCTAACGCTGTTGCCTTCCACCCACCGTCCATTTGCTCCGTTTCCTCAACACATCATCTGCTGCCCACCTCATTGCATCTCGACCTCACGTCCCTCACACCGTCTGCTTGTTGATTTCGATCCCCATATCCAGAAGCAACATGAAGTGGCGGAGGAGGAAGCTCGGCCTCCTGTCGCTGCTCGCCACAGCCGTGCCGACAACCGCCATCTCTGGCACAGCACCTCCCATCGACGAAGCCATAGCTCTTCCGGGACCCGTCCTCCCAGCACCGCCCAATACGCAACCGCCATTACCTGCCGAGCACTCCTTTTCTCTCCGACACATCTTCCACCATGGAACGCATCAACATCCCCGCCTCCACCGGAAGCGCGACATCATGACCAGCGACAGTGCCGAGCCCAACGTCTGGCTCGCCGCCGAGGACGAATACGCCAGGGAAGTCATGGGTCCGCTGAAGGCTCGAAGCAAATCCATCACGATAGAACGCTTGGTCGACCGCCGCCCCCACGTCGTCGACCCCATGGTGGCCGCCGCGCGCGAGAGGGGCTACGTCAACATGCTGAGCCCGACGGCCTGGACCCTCGACGACACCCCTGGACCCGACGTGTCAGACAAGGAGACCATCTTGACGCTGGCGCGCATGACGGCCAACGCATACGTCGAAGACGAGGAGCACCCAGACTGGGAGGACGTCGGGGCGCCGTTCAACCGTAGCGCCGACTTTGGCTGGCAGGGGGATGGTCTCCGCGGCCACATTTTTGCCGACGAGAACAACTCGACCGTCGTCATCGGCCTCAAGGGCACCTCGATGGCCGTGTTCGACGGCGACGGCACCACGACGCATGACAAGATCAACGACAATCTCTTCTTCAGCTGCTGCTGCGGGCAGCTGGGCCAGTGGACGTGGCTCCGCGTCTGCGATTGCGCCACACCCGTCTACAGCTGCAACAACACGTGCGTCGTCGAGGCCATTACGGACGAGCACCGGTACTACGCTGCGGCACGCGAGCTGTACTCCAATGTGACCGAGCTGTACCCCCACTCGGACATTTGGTTGGCCGGCCACTCCCTCGGCGGCGCTGTGAGCTCGCTCCTCGGTCTGACCTACGGCCTGCCCGTCGTCACCTTTGAGGCCGTTCCCGAAGCGCTGGCTGCAGGTCGCCTCGGCTTGCCGGTGCCCCCTGGCTCGGAGCAGACCATACACCAGGCGCGCGAGAACACGGGCGCCTTTCACGTCGGGCACACGGCGGATCCCGTGTACATGGCCATGTGCCACGGCCCCACGGCGTCCTGCTCGTTTGCGGGCTACGCCATGGAGTCGGAGTGCCACACGGGCCAGCGGTGCGTCTACGACGTCGTTGCCGATAAGGGCTGGCGCGTCGGCATCGGGA